CCAACGTTGACAGTGGATTGAAGGAGCAGAAGCGTTCGTCTAGCGACATTTTTGCCTATTCATTTGCGTGAGCATGGCAACCGGTCATTCTGGGATGAGTGGGATAAGAAGGATCCATTGTTCATGAGGCAGCGAAGGAAGGGAAGGGGTTGGATATCACATACCACACACCTAATCGCACCCCTGCATATCGCCTTACTTGACCCGTAAACAATGCAATAGGCGGGGAAGGAAATGTTACTGATGTGGAGCAGTAGGCCGGCTTAAAGCGTAGGCAGGAAAGGGACGAGAAGTAGGTGAGCGTCGTAAAATGTAGGCAGTAGGAAGTGGTAACAGTGAGGGCAGAAATGGGAGGTGGTGTGCCTTGCTGAGGAAGTGGAGTGGTTTGGATGGGTGATGGCGGCGCATCAAGTCTGCATGGCGTAGGATCCAGTGTGGTCAGCAAGCCTCTGACCTCAGGTGGATGCTCAAAATTACACTCCGCTGTGTTCAATCTTGTGATGGGAGCGAATAGGGTTTGCTCGAGTGCTTCCATTTCGCCAGTTGGAGGTCCTTGGTGGTCCTTGGCCCCTTCAAAAGGATCGCAAATGCTGATTGCGTTGGCCATGACCTCAGTAAGGGTGCAGCAGAGACGTTCGAGAAGCGCCTTTAGATATATGAAATCTCTAATGCGGCATTAGGTTTAGCTGTGGTTCCTCATTATTCTGCGAGGTAACATCTTCTACAGCCTTCACACAATAACTGGCAGTGAAACACTGTACTGTCGACCTCACATAACTTCACATTTTCAGTCATTACGTAATGGGAGACATCGTCGGTCATAAGTCGCAATGATTGAGCTCCTCTCTGCCAAACTCGATGCACTCCAAAATTTGCATTTTAGAAACAAACTTTTGCTGCATTGGAAGGCAATAAATAAGCCCTTCAATTCAACCAAACCGACACCCACTGCTTCCACCCTAACGCACAGAGAGGAACCTGCGTCAGCTCCAACCGTTGGCGTCAGATGCACGTCATCAATCACTTCCTCCACCCGTGACTCTGCATTGGCCTCGAAAAGCCAGTAATAACGCCTCAGCAGTGTCATTACCATGTATGTCGACAAAACAAGGAAACGGAGAAAACTATGGAAAGTAACTTACCCAATGCCCTGCTGCAAGACGTGGAGGCGCCAAACTCGCCAACCTCATGGCCTCATCCGAATCGCTATTTATATCGTCACGCCGATGAATAAGGGAGGTGAACAGAGCTCTCGACCAGAATTTGTCTCACTGAAGACGTGATGAGCGATGTTTATGTGCGGTATCGCTACTCAGGAATGGGTATTTCCACCTGAGATGAGTTCTGTTAGCGAAGTATCGATTTTGCTATCGTCGGTGGAAGTACTGGCACAATTGTCTACCCCTGTTACGAAACAGTTGGCTCTACACAGGAACCCATCCACATTGGCAATAGTGGGGAGGATAGAAGTAACAAAGGGAAAAAGGTTTTGTACCAGGCGAATAACCGCTCCAGGAGCATAAGGCTGATCGTGTATGTTAAGAGGACTGGTTGAAAAAAAGTCGGAAAC